TCTCTGAGCATCTTTAAAACAGCTGTTTCAATGTCTTTGTCAAGTAGATTCACTAGACAGTTTCTGTTGGTTTAGTTTTTCCTTTGAATGGGCCATATTTTCCTGTTTCTTTGTATGCCTGGTAATTTTTTGGTTGTTGTTGAAAAAATGGACATTTAAATCCAATAATTTGGTAACTCTGGAAATAAGACTCCTCCTTCCCTAGGAATTTCTGTTTTTATTTTGGGATTTGGTTTTTTATTGTTGTAGGCTGTCTCTGTACTGAAAATCCGGCTGAGGTGTCACCTTAAGGTCTTCTCAGGTCTTTTCTGAGCCTGTGCCCTTGCCTGGATATGTGCAGTGACTTTCTAATTAATTTCCCCTGTATATGTGGTTGCTTTTGATGTCCTAGTTCTTAATGTATGCCTTCCAAAAAAAAAAAAAAAAGAGAGAGAGAGAGAAAAGTTAAGGGTAAGCCCCTTGAACCCATGGAAGTTAACTTCAGCCAGAGGCGGAGGGGCTTGCAGCATGAGGGTAGGTGTACCACATGGCAGCTGCCTCGTTGTCTGCTCCTCTGGGGTCATAAACAGCAGTCAGCAATCAGAGAGCAGATCCGGATATTTGGAGGACAGTGTTCTTCCCCCCCACCCCCCAACCCCATGCTGGCTCTGGCACGCTGCATGCAAGCTGCCCAGGAACAAGTGCACAGCTGCCTGCCACCGGGTGCGGGCCTGGGTAGTGGCTACTATGCTCAGAGCTGACATTGTAAAAAATAACCACAATTTACCCTTTAAGCCTTCTCCTGGAAGTTTGGAGCCTTTAATAGACTCCAAATAGTTATATCAGGCAGATTTGAGTACAGTTGTGACCTAAGTGGGGAGTCAGATTCCTGGTGCTGACTACTCTGCCTGCTCCTTTCCCAAAGACTCACTAACTCTTACCAAAAGTCTCTTTCACTGTGAGGATCTTGCTCACCTGCATCTTAATTACTAAACCTTTTAGATAAGAAAAATAGGCATCTTAGGCCCGTTTGCCTCCCAAGCATTTTTCAATTTCTAATACATTGTATTATACAGTGTTCTACACTTTGTTTTCATTGTATTATTTTATTTTATTTTTAACAATAACATGGGGAAATAGTAAGGGCAAATAGTATCATCTCCACCTTATAGTCAGCAAAATTGAGCCTCAGGGCACAATAGAAATGGCTAATCAGTGAGTGATAAGAGTCAGAACTCAAACCACACTTTTCTCAGACCTAGATCTCTGTCTGCCACTCCAAACTACCTCTGTAGAGCAACAGTAAATTTCTCTAGGAAACCAGAAAGTTTGACCCTAAACAGTGAGGACAGTCTAGGAGTCTGGAAATAGAAATATCACTGCCAAAGCCCTTCTTGACCATCACTTGCTCTCTCTGCCCGTTCTGATTGTGAGTAAGCTTACCTGTTAGAGAGAGAATGAAATAGGTAAGAAGTTGGGAGGCTGCATCTAAGCAAGACCCTGATGGCAGCTATACACTTCTTGCTTTCCCCTGCAGCTAAGAGAATGGCCAGATGCCAGATGGATTGGAAGTAACAAAATGTATAGCCTCTCTAGGAGGGTCCAGATTCCTTCAGGGTGTGGATTTAGACTGACTATCCAAATTTCTGTTGTCATCAAAGATTAAGAACAGAATTAGAATAAGCTAGTTAAACATTAGTGATAAATACATCCAATCATACCTAAAATTTGGTCATTTTCAAAAATGTAATGTTTAATTATTGTATCCCTGATAATACAATGTTGTTGTTTTTTTAAAACAAAGTTAAAATTTTACTTAAGGAAGCCTAAAATTTAGTGAATACAATCTTTCTTTTTTTAAAAAAATATATTTTATTGATTTTTTTACAGAGAGGAAGGGAGAAAGATAGTCAGAAACATGGATGAGAGAGAAACATCGATCAGCTGCCTCCTGAGCACCCCCTACTGGGGATGTGCCCGCAACCAAGGTACATGCCCTTGACCAGAATCGAATTTGGGACCCTTCAGTCCGCAGGCCGACGCTCTATCCACTGAGCAAACCGGTTAGGGCGAATACAATCTTTCTTAAAACCATACTTCCTGCCTTAGCCTAATTATTTGGATGAAGAGTTCATAAACGTAAATGCCACAGAGGCCAGGTGGGTAACCTGTATCAGGCTGGGGGGAGCACGTGTGCATGGATTATAATCCAGGGGTCCTCAAACTTTTTAAACAGGGGGCCAGTTCACTGTCCCTCAGACCGTTGGAGGGCCGGACTATAGTTTAAAAAAAAAAAATGAACAAATTCCTATGCACACTGCACATATCTTATTTTGAAACAAAACAGGAACAAATACAATATTTGTATTTGCATGTGGCCCGCGGGCCGTAGTTTGAGGACCCCTGGATTATATGAATGACGAATGCTGGAGACAGCCTCGCTGTCTAAATGGAGCGGTTGGACTCAGCAACAGCCAATCACTACTGTGAGGAAATGCAGAGCCAATAATTGCTAGATCTTCTCATTCTTTTTCCAAGAAAAATTGAAAAAATCTTTATTGTTATGAGAACACTCCTTATTATTAGATGTGGACTTAAATTTAAAATGAACAAGCCAACAAACCATTTGAATCTAGCAAAATATGGCTGCTGGCCACCAATTTATCTCTGGTTCTGACCAGGTGATAAGATATTTATTGCCCCCTAGTGGTAGTTTTCTTCAATTTTAGCTTTACTTGTAGAGGAATGAGGTGACAGCAAATTTCAGTGTTTGGCACATTTGTGTGAGGAGCATGGTCCTGCTGGGTGGGCGAATTGCCCACTTCCAACATCCATGCCAATGCTTCCTTATATTGGCACAAACGGCCAAGGTGAAAATCAGTACTGCAGTGAGGGTTAGTGATGCAAATACTGAAAATAAACATTCACAAACACTGATATTTGTGTGATAATCAGTGCAATATGGAGTCACTTTTTAAGCATATATTATCAAATATTCAGGGTGTGTGCTGGGCACAGCTAATGCAAGTAGTGGCAAGAACATTAGGCCCTCATGGCTGTAGGATTGAGCATCTGGACCATGACTCACTCAGGCAGTTGGCCAATTCCCCAACTGGTACTAAAAACAACTGAAGTACAGTTTTCCCATCTGTAAATATGGGGATAAGAACACTCCCTGTCTCCTAGGGGTATAAAACTCAGTGTCCGCAATATCCTTTAGGGGGGAAAGTTCTTACTGATGAGTGCCCAACCTCCTGCCATACCCTGGGTCAGCAAGCCAAGCAGGTCAGACTGGCTTATCTTCTATGCACACCCTCTGCCCAGACTGGGTGTGGCTCTTCCTCATTCTTTGGTTTAAGGTTGATTTCTTTTCAGCTGATGTTCCCATATAAAAATGTTTGGAGCAGGAGAGGGGAAAGTAGAATGTGACTTGGGCTGGTTTCCACTTCCATTTCAAGGTCAGCCACGTATTTAGAGCACATGGAAGGTGTGTCTGCTTGGAAGGAGCTCGAGTACTCATTTGTGATGGAAAATTACAGGAGCCTGCCAGAAAAGAATTACTGCAGAGCATTGCCCTTCACAGGGGAGTTGAAAGTACCTTCTGCAGACTTTGCTTCGTCCCGGAAGGACGTCCAGAAGGACATCAGGTCTAATTAGCATATTATGCTTTTATTATTATAGATGTAAGAATGTATGGAATAAAAACAAGACACTATTAAAAATTAAAATCTACCCACTTCTGAGTGCTATTATTTACATGAATACATTAAAACAAGAAAGTGTTTTTACTCCAAATACGAGATACTATATAGCATATTAATACCAAGTATGAGGCGAGAGTATAAAAGTGTTAACGATTTTGTAAATAAATATTACAGCACATATATTCAAAGAATTCAGCAGATGAAAGTTATGTGCTTGTTCCAATGCTAAGATTTGTGGAGTTCCTCTTCTTGAATTATCTTTACATCCTGTTTACTTGAAAATTACTCACATTGGGTTTTAATCATGCTTCATATTGAAGTCATTTAAGTGATGGTTATGTTTTGTGTTTTCATGACATAAAAGTCATAACACTTAAAAATATATATTTATTGATTTCAGAGAGGAAGGGAGAGAGAGAGAAAGAGAGAGAGAGAAAGAAAAAGAGAAAGAGAGAAACATCAATGATGAGAGAGAATTATTGATGGGCTGCCTCCTACACGCCCAACACTGGGGATCAAACCCACATTCCGGGCATGTGCCCTGACCAGGAATCAAACCGTGACCTCCTGGTTCAGAGGTTGATGCTCAACCACTGAGCCACACCAGTTGAGCAAAAGTCATAGTTATTTTGAAGGTGACCTTTGTGGCCTAGGAAGCAGGATTAAATAGGAAATAAAGCAGGGATTGAAATCAGATAAAATCTGAGACGATCTGAGACCAATCAATCAAGGCATTTAAAAAGATACATAAATATTTGTATAGCCATAGAGATGTCATGAAATCTTTTGTGATAAAATATTTCCTCTCTCCTAAGATAAATACTGTAAGCAATAGAGCAGGGTAATGATTTTTCAAATAATTGTGGTATTTTAATTATATAAAAGGGGAAGTGAGAAAAATATTTGATCTTATGCAGAAACTGCAAAGTCCTGATGAAGAAATACGGAAGAGAGTAGAGCAAGTTAACCTATTAGAGGGAACAGATGGACCCTTCCCCCTGGGATAATCCCGAGCAGAATCCTCAGCACCTTCTTGGACATTTTAAAATCCATTTATCCTCTCTCTCTCTCTCTCTCTCTCTCTCTCTCTCTCTCTCTCTGGGAGAGGGAAGTATTTATGAAACGAGTTTGTATAAGAACTGGCTACAGTTCAGCTTTTGCAGAAACAAGCTGCTTATCTGATTCCTGTCTGAAGGACATTTATTTTTATTAGTGGGAATTGTACCAGCTATCCAATGCCTCATCTTTTCAATGGGGGAAAAAATCTTGACAGTCTCCTGAAGACTTTTCTTTTTAATATATTTTTATTGATTTCAGAGAGGAACACTGGGGATTGAGCCCACAACCCGGGCATGTGCCCTGACCGGGAATCGAACCGTGACCTCCTAGTTCATAGGTCGATGCTCAACCACTGAGCCACGCAGGCTGGGCTCCTGAAGACTTTTAATTGTATCTCAAGTGATCCTTATTTTGTGAACAACTTTGTACCTTTCTGAAGCCCATCCTTTCAGGGGGTCATGACTAATGCCCTGGAGACCATTACCCTGAAAACGGTGTTTGGATTATTTGTCTGGAAAGCATCTTCTGGTGTATCTTTGAACACTCACCTGTCATGTCTCTGCCCACTCATCCAGCCTGGTGCCATCTCCCTGCAGTTTATTCTGCACCGGGCATTTTACTAACTAAAAGTTTCATGTCATATGTCACTTTGGATATTTCACACACATGCTCACCTCTGAATCACTTACCAAACTATTTCATAAGAATGCGTTAGAGCCAATCCCTGGTGTACCCTGCTGTTTAAACCTCCTTATTCAGGTGGAATGGAATGTTAAAGTGGAAGTTTCAGCTGAGATCCTAGAGCAGGGGTGGGCAACCCCTGGCACGCGTGCCAAACATGACACGTCAGTAACTTTTGCTGGCACTCGAAACTCTCTCAGAAAAAGAAAAGATTATTCAGCGCATTAAAGATTTGTCTTTGAGAGGGAAAACAGTTAATGATAGGATACTTAAGTTGGCGAGTAATACTGCTGAACAATTAACAAAAGATTTGTCTTCATGTCAATTTTTTCCTATTTGTATTGATGGAAGTACAGACATTACATCGTCATCTAAGCTGGCCATTTTTTCTTGACTTTGTAAATGATGAAATATGTGAAGAGATGGTTGCCCTTCTAACTCTACCTGAGCGTACTACCGGGGCTGAAATATGTAAAGCAGTTATGAACAAATTCTCTTCTCGACAAATTGACATTGCAAAAGTAGTGTCCGTCACCACTGGTGGTGCTCCTGCATGACTGGTGAGAAGGCAGGTTTTGTAAATCTGTTTGCGAAAGAAGTTGCTCATACACTGATGGGTTTTCATTGCATCATACATGATGAGGCTTTATGTGCAAGAGCTGGCCTGAAGGAACTGCAGGAAGTGATGCAAACAGTTACCAAAGTTGTTAATTACATTTCTGCTCGGGCTTTAAATAAAATACAATTTTAAGTTTTACTGAAAGGCAGAATCTGTGTATAAAGGACTGAAAATGTACAATGTTCGATGGCTTAGCCGAGGTTTGGTTCTGAAACGATTCGTTGAATGCTTAAATGAGATAACACTCTTCCTGAATAACCAACATGTTTCTTACCAAGAATTGTCTGACGCCACGTGGGTTTCTAAACTGATGTTCTTTGCAGATTTTTGTGAACATTTGAATGACTTAAATGTTAAATTACAAGAAACTGGCAAGACACTTGATGTTGTTTGGTTACATAAAGGCTTTTGAAAAGAAACTAGAAGTCTTTAAGAAGGATATGGATGGTGAGAGATTTAGATATTTCCCAAACCTCAAGCGGCACATCAAAGACCTCCCAAAAGATGACAGAACAGACTGTCAAAGCCTTCAAAAGCTGTTTTTAAACATCATTGAGTCAACTATTGAGCAGTTCTTCTCAAGATTTGTGAAATTCAGAGAACTGGAAGAGACAGCAAAATTCATGAGGTTTCCAGACAGCATGAAACTGGAGGAACTAAACTTACAAATGTTTTCATGGATAGACGTGGCTGACTTTGAAATGCAGTTGATTGTATTTCAGAGTAGCTCAATTTAGAAGCAGAAATTTATTGACCTTAGAGTTGACTTGGAAAACATTGAAAAAAAGCTATTAGAGACAGGAGTACCAGAGAGAAGTGTCAAAAATGAACTGGAATGCCATTCCAGAAAATTTTTTCTGTTTAAAAAACTTTGCAACAGCATTACTCTCCATATTTTCATCCACATATGCTCATGAATCTTTGTTCTCAGTGATGAATTTTGTTAAGTCTCATAGGAGTAGCCTGATGGATGAAAGTAGTAGCTCGTGCATATCTCTGAAGGTTATGAAATATAAACCTGATGTAAAATCTCTGTCATCAGTGATGCAGCAGCAAAAGTCCCACTGATAATATCAAACGGAGTCATAAAGTTTTCTGTTGGACTATCAGTGTACATATATACATTAAAAAATAAATGTATTTTTCATCATCATATATTGTGTTTTTGTCACTCGAATGAATTTTATTATTTCTTCAAGGTTCTTCACATACGTACACCTTAAGAGATATCAAGTAGGCATAACATGTTCTCAAAAAATTAGGGTTGGCACGCAGAAGAATTTTGAGTCAGAGATTTTGCTGGTTTTGGCATGCACTCACAAAAAGGTTGCCCACCCCTGTCCTAGAGTATCAGATACCTAAGTGAATTGTGAATTTATGAATTTTAGAGTTACAACCTTCTTAGAGCCCTTACCTATATCAAGGGCATAAAGGTTAGTTCTATTGGGCATTTGTAAAGTGTTGTGATTTTTTTTTTTAATGAGAGATTGCAAAAAAAACATCAACACCTCCCACTTTATCTCAAGTCAAGAGTGAGTCCTAAAGTGAACAAGCACTATGAATTCATTTAAGGACAAGAAGGAAAGCCAAACTTCTACAGAGAAGCAGGGGAAGGATGAGACCCACTGAATAGATGTAAGTGGACAATGAAGGAGAAAAGATAACGTTTTTCTGAGTACATTCCACAGGTTAGTGCTTGTTCAGTGCACTGGTTGAATGTGCACCTGCCCACTTCCCTTCATGCTTTGTTTAATGGTTTTAGAGCAGTTCTTTCACAAGTTGTTTTCCGTGATGACTTTTGTTTTAATAGTGATTTTTAGTCTAGAATTTTATCAAAGGCTCCTAAAAACATTACATTTATTGTTGTGCTCTCATTAAGATATTTAATTTTGCTCTCATTAAGATATTTAATTTTGCTCTCAAAGAAGTTCACTACAGCCCAGCCAGCGTGGCTCAGGTTGAGCGTCAAGCTGTGAACCAGGAGGTCATGGTTGGCTTCCTGGTGAGGCTTTTCTGGTGGTGTTCTGAAATAACGGAACTCTGGAAATGTACCCATTATTGCATCTTGATTATTTTTTTTTTAATAAAAGCAAGCAGTGTTATTCAATCCTCCAATTATTATTGAAGGCCTAGTATGCTAAGGCATTATTTAAGATAGTTGGAATATGTCAGTGACAAAACATATATCAAAAAGTCCCTGTCCTCTGAAGCTAATGCCTCTCTCCTGAATGTTCTGTCACTGGAAAAGGGAATTTTGTAGTAGGAAATAATACAGAAGAAAAGTTGCCTTTCTCTTGGCTGTAGGCATTTGGGCAATGTACTAAAGAAAACTCTCAGTGTGGGGGCAGGCGTAAGCAGGCCCTGTAACCTGTTGGCACTAAAAGTGCTGATCCACGGAGAGATAAAGACTTTGCCATAGAATGTAAACCTATATACTGCTTCCTTCATCAAGGAAGTCTCACTACAAAAAACATCAGCTGGATGCAATGGTGTGCATAATGACATAGTTCATGAAAGCTCCTTATAGTACTACAATTGGGTAATAAATAGTACATAGACCAATTACAGTCTGTAAACCATGCTTTTGGTGACAATGACCTAAGGCTTAAAGGCAAACAATTTTTTTTTTCTGTTAAGAGACAGATAGTAAAAATTTTAGGGCCATAAAGTCTCTGTCAACTTTGTCATTATAGCAAAGAAGCAGCCATAGACAGTATATAAATGAATGGGTGTGGCTGTGTCCCAATAAAACTATTTTAAAATCAGGCAGCAAACATGCTGTGGCTTGTGGGCCATAGTATGCTGATCCCTGAATCCTCACCATTTATGGGGCTCATCCCCCTTAAAGCTCATTATCAGATTTTTTAAAAAATCTTACAGTTGTAAACTGTAAGATGATGTTAGAGCTTTGTACAGTCAATATGTCCTCTCAGTAAAATACAAAGAGTATTTACCTAAAAAAAAAAAAAAAAAAATATATATATATATATATATATATATTTTATTGATTTCAGGGAGGAAGGGACAGGAAGAGAGAAATAGAAACATCAATGATGATGAGAGAGAATCATCGATTGGCTGCCTCCCGCATGATCCTTACTGGGGATAGAGCCCACAACCTGGGCATAAGCCCTTGACCGGAATCTAACCCGGGACCCTTCAGTCCACAAGCTGATGCTCTATCCATGGAGCCAATCGGCCAGGGCTCAGATCTATTTTTTAAAATATGTTTTTAAATTGATTTTAGAGAGAGAGAAAGGGGGAGGGAGAGAGAGAGAAACATTGATGAGAGAGAAACATTGGTCAGCTGCCTCCTGTACACCAAATCAAATTGGTGACCTCTTGGTGCATAGGACAATGCTCAACCAACTGAGCCATACCAGCCAGGGCCAGATCTATTTTTTTAAAATATGTTTTTTTTTCTATTATTGATTTCAGAGAGAGGAAGGAAGAGGGAGAGAAAGAGAAATATCAGTGATGAGGGAGAATCATTGATCAGCTGCCTCCTGTATGTCCCCTACTGGGGATCCAGCCTGCGACCTGGCATGTCCCCTGACCAGGAACCGAACCATGACCTCCTGGTCATAGGTGGATGCTCAACCACAGAGCCACAGGGCCAGGCCAGATCTTTTTTTAAATTAAAGTCAAAAGAATGTAGGCAAAGGCAAAAGAGAATTGGAGATATCCTTCATTAGAGAGGGGAAAAATAAATGCCTGAAATATTGATTTAAAGTGTCTTAACACAGAGTCACCCTGAGGGATAAAATTAAACATGGAAATATGTACATAATTATTAAAAAATATATGGGCAATACAGTGAGCAAGTATTGCCAATGGAGACTTCGGCTAAGTCTTGGGAAAAATTAATATTCCAAGAAGCTTCATCTCAAAATGTTGACATCTCAGAGATACAGAACTACTTGACAGTAAGAAGCTGGGATAGTCCTTCCTAATTTTTCCTCCCTGTTTTCCTGTCTGCATTTTTTTTTCTCTTAACACACAGGAAAGAGTTTCCAGACAACCAGTATTACATTCTTGAAGAGCAAGTTCATAGGAATAGCTGTTAATAATTTATGGCTGCCTCATTTGATGCTCCTTCAGTGTAGCTTGAAGACAACACATTTCTGTGTCATTAAAGTATTAGACAACATCCGTCTTTAGATTTTCCCAGAGAACAGGCAGGGTGTGCCCCTGGGAGGGAGTGTCAGGAAGAGGTACAAAAAGAGATGCCAACCATTGCCATCCATTTCTCAAAAGGCATCCTGGGCAGATTCCAAATTTCCGTTACATTCTGTCTTGTGTTTTTTTAATACAAGATGATTAGCTGCTTTGACAAATATACTCCTCCCCAATTAGCAACAGCTGCTATAAAAATTTTTAGAGTGAAACAAAAAAAATGAACTACTGTGCGTCCTGTTTATTTTAATAAAATATGAAATATGAAACTTTTTAAGGCTCTCAAGCTCCTTAAAGATGAGACTTCCATTTGAAATAAAAAGTTTATTGTGTGTTAGCTTTGCAAATGGTTTCCTTTATTTAGTGTTCAATATTTATTTCGCCTTTTGATTAAGCCACTGAAAATCTCTAGCAGAAGTATGTGTGGGAAAATAACACAGTAGGAACCAAAGCCAGAGTTAGTCACTAACAACTTAGCTGAGACTGGCCAAGCACTTTTGCCAGAAAGAATGGACATAGTGCCATGGCCACCGAGGAAGGTTAGGAGAGAATAAGCCCAGAGAATGGAATGCTGGGATGCCTTGGGCTATCACAGACTGGGGAGAGGGCCAGGAAAACCAGTGAAATTAAGGGTGGTGAGGAAATTAAAGAAAATGAGATAATGGAAGGAACTGTTCAAAAAGGATGAATAAATGTTAAACTTTGTTTACTTCTCAAATTTCCCTCAGGCTGGTGTTAGCCCGGAAAGCCAAAAATTACCTCTTATGGCACAGGGGTGAAGGGATTCTGCTTGTGCCAGGAAGGGAAGAAACCTTGTGTCAGCAGTTTGAGCATCCTTCCTTACACACATCTCTAGGCGAATCGTTATCTGCTGATCTTCATAAAGCCTTTTCAGGAGCCATGCTCTGCCCCTTTGTACTCTATTCTTTTAAAAAAAAAATATATATATATATATTATTGATTCTTTACAGAGAGGAAGGGAGAGGGATAGAGAGTTAGAAACATCGATGAGAGAGAAATATCGATCAGCTGCCTCCTGCACGCTCCCTAGTGGGTATGTGCCCATAACCAAGGTACATGCCCTTGACCAGAATCGAACCTGAGACCCTTCAGTCCGCAGGCCCGACGCTCTATCCACTGAGCCAAACTGGTTAGGGCTGTACTCTATTCTTGACCATAGATTGAAAACTTCCAGGATAGAGCGTCGGCCTGTGGACTCAAGGGTCCCAGGTGTGATTCCGGTCAAGGGCATGTACCTTGGTTACGGGCACATACCCACTAGGGAGTGCGCAGGAGGGAAGCTGGATCGGAGGTTCTTAACTCCTCTATCCCTCTTCCCTTCTTCTCTGTGAGAATCATAAAAAATATTTTTT